CTCTTAATCACCTATCTAATTAGGGACCTATACGGATACTCTAATATACATTTACAGACCCCCTATATGAAGGATAAAATAGCTAAAAGGTATTTAAAAAATTATTTAAGGATATATGTTTATATCACACAAATAACTCCTTTGGCTACACATTCAACCATTTGGTTCCCGAGTTGGTCCTTTATGGTTTCCACGTTTCATGTTGATATGTCCTGTCGTCCTTGTGTGTTGTACTGTTTATGTATATATGTAGTTAGTATTTTTCCTTATTTCACTCACATTTTTTCAATATTGTACTTTATTTGTCTATGTTTCTTACTGGTTTATGCATATTATTAATACCTGTTTTCCTATATGGATTTCGATCCAAATGCTGTATGGGATTATATTATTTCCCCACTCTGAGGTTATGGTGCTGTACCTGTGTAACGCTAATATCTGTACGCTTGCTTTTTCCGCACTCTGCCGATATACCGGCTGGCTCATGCGCACTAGAATCGTGGAGAATTGTATCTCCCCATCACCCTGGTTACGAATGACGTCTATCGTATGCGTCTAACCAGGACAGAAGGCGACGCTGTGTATACCACAGAAGGACACCGGATCGCAATACTGCCTCACATTCTCTACATTTTTAGCAGATCGCCATGATGACTGACATTACACCGCCACAGCTACCATTCTAAACCTCAGACTGGAGGTAACAAACTGTGAGTAGCATGGATAGTCTATATGTGTGCTTTTTAAATATGTTTATGTACTTTTAAAAATGGCGTTTTTCCCGCCATTCTGACATCACTGGGGGGGTGTCTATTGATAATTGGTTCACATTATGGGGTATATATGTGGTGTGTGGACACCATCACATTGTCACATCTTTTGCCCTGAGGAAGGGACCCTGCGTGGCCCCGAAACGTTGGCTATTTGACTATTGTGACATGTATGTCCAATAAAAAGGACTTATCTATTTGAAATTATTTTGAGTGCTGGTAACCTATTCTTTCTACTTTGTGCATTACACGGTGCCATCCGTGGGAGTTACTGCAAGCACCTCATCTCTACTGGCGGGGACTGCTGAAAGGTGTGCGGAGAGCACCCTCACCAATTACAACTAAGAGGATGGATGTCTTTTTTTCTTAACCATTTTTATTAGGACTTTTTTTTCTTTAGGATTATTTTTCCTTCAATCAAGGCTTTGCTACACACTGATTGAGCTATTGGTATATCCTCAGCAATAGTTTGGGTGGTTGTACCCACACCCTACTGAACTGGATGACTGTGGGGCCTGCCTGAAATGTTTTTCAGGCATCGGGCTCTGTGTGGGCCACTTTTCAGATCCGTGTCTACTGTTTTAGTCAGCCACAGAGCACTTTCCAGGTCCAGAGATGTGGCATAGCCTACGGTGTATTCATTTATGACTGGAAACAGACAGAAAGGGTTAAAATGCTGAGGAATTGAGCACTACATCACTGTTACCACAATTCAGCATAAGGTAACACTTTCCCGCCCACTGCTCCTAATTGTTGTCTACACTGATCTGGTCACCTCTCGCCATTTGGACCTATCCTGCTCTTATCAGCCGTTTTTTGAGTACCTACAGTGTTACCTGTGAAATTTTCCCTACCAAGCAGTCAACATATCAGACTCCAAACACAAGGGAAGAAGTCTTGCCATATTGTGTCCTTACTGCCCAAACTCCACTAACAGTTCCAGAGTGGCCTAAAGTGCACCCTCTGAAGGGTCTGACACTAACAGCCTGGAATGTTGTCCCCTTCTTAAGTCCCTACATTCTCCCAGAGTCTTCCTTAGTGATGTTGGGTGTGGTTCCCTCTTCAGCCTTATCCTGTGAGGATTTCACTCCAGTTATGCCAAATTTTATGGCCCACATTTCATCTTTAATTGCTGACTCTATCCTCAATGGTTATATGTGTACCTCCACCTACAGAATCATTATCTGATCTGCCTGCAGCTTTAGTGTCCTCTGAACCACTAAATCCCCATTTATGCTGATCCCCTATTTGTAGAGTGCTTACAACGCATGCCAGTTGCCCTAAACTACTGCATAAATTGGTTACTGGATGTCTCCTGCATAAATCCTCCTAAAAGCAAAGATGCAGAGAACTCTTTGGTTGAAATGTTAATCTACAGAACAGGCATGTAAAAAGTATCTTCTGCACATGCCCTTTAAGAGGCCAAAGTCTCTTTGGACACCCTAATCAAGGATGTGACTTGGGGTAGGAGTACTCACAGACCTTCCTATGTCTCCACACAGGTTAGAAGGCATTCATGAAACTCTTGCAGCTATTCTAGATCGGGGGTTATTGCTCCAGTTCTGGTAGTGCAGGTTTCAAGGATTTTATTCCAACATTTTCACAATTCCCAGACCAAAAGGAAGCCTTTGTGTCATCTTGGATCCCGACGTTCTAAATGTCTTCTTTCAGAACCAAAAATGTTTTAGCCTTTCTCCATCAGGGAGACTTTCTGGCCTGTGTAAACATCAATGACACATACTTGCATGTTTTTTTTCCCAGCACATCAGCAATTCCTTCGCTTTGCTTTGGTCCTTTAACCTCAACTAGGACATTGCACTACCATCCCTCTGTCCAGATTTAGTACATTGGAAAGTGATTCTCTTTTATTGTCTGAACGTAGTTCATGCTATACAAGGCTACAAAAGTGCAAATATGGCAGCTGCTCTGGTCTGTTTAAAACTAGTGTAGCGCCCCCTTGGATTCAAAGGGCAGGAGGGCCTGGCATTTTACCTTAGGGATGGATCCTTAGCCGGAATGTGAGATGTATGGAGTAAAATAGGGCACCAGTCACTTTTAGAATAGAGCTGCAACTTCTAAGGAATACAGAACTTCAGACTCACCAAAGGCTCTCCAGCTTCATAGTGTACAGGATCTTTGAACCAGACGTACGATTACACTGTGTTGGAGCACCATAGCTGGCAGACATTTTAAGATCTCTCTTAGGTGAGACACTAGATCTCTCACTCTGTGGTCCAAGCCCATCCTGGCTTCTCTGCAGCAGATGAAATTCCTCCCTGGTTCTCTATTGCAGGAATAATTCTGGACCCCGACCAGGTCTACAACTGGTCACCTGCAGGCTTCAGACTTGGTCAGACAACACACATGTAACACACCTCCCCCAGGCAGGAGGCCAGGGGGGAGAAAGAGGCTCTCACATGGTCAGACCCAGATATGTATGTCCTCTGCTAAAATGCACCACTGGCCATGAAACTCCTAGTGATTGGCTGGAGAGACATACTAAATATATCCATAGTATTCCATTGTTGGCAAGCAGGACGGTGCAATCAATAACAGATTCCTTAGAGAAAACCAAATGCACATAAACTATACAATCAGCCAGACTAAATGCAGTCTCGGCAAACTAAATTTCGCCACCGGGACTCTGTTTAAACTTGTAAAACGTGTAAAGCCGACTGTCGGCTTTACAATAGAAACGATTCTGGCGACTAAAGTGAAGGGGTCCCCCACCCTGCCCGACATCCCCGCCGTGCTTCCCGGGCTACGTTGCCCCTCCTATGGGCCCGGGCTTCTCTGGTGTCGGCGGGGAGCTGGGGAGGAAATGGACGAACCTCCGTTCGTCGATCCCCTCCCCAATCTATGGAAGCGGGAGCAATGCAGATTGCATCACTTCCGGTCCCATAGCTGTCAGTGCTGGGCTCCTGAAGCCCAGCTATAAGCTATTGAAGTGTGATCTGCACTTCAATAGCTTATTTGGAGTGTAAAGGTGACACTGCGGATCTTTTGTACCTCCATAATCACCTTAAAGAGTACCTGTCGCCACCATCTGCTATCACATGGGGGGCTTGTAAGCCCCCCTATGTGATGGCAATTAAAGTAAAGTAAAAGTTTTTAAAATTAACATTACATAAAATTAAATCTAAAAATACAAAAAAAAAACGTAAAGCCCCCCGTGAGCACTAGTGCCGCCACGTAAACATGTGTCGAGTGCGCCTACATATGAAAACGACGAACGAGCTACACATGTGTATCGCCATGCATGCTGGAGTGAGAGCAATAATTCTAGGGCCAGTATTATTGGTTTTTGGGTATCTCTAAAATTATGACCTGTAGGGGCTTTTAAAGCGTCACCTACGGACATTTTGGGGTACTGAGGTTTGTTGCCGTTTCACGGACGCACACAATTTTTAACCTGGGCATGTTGGGTATCTATTTACTTGTTGTATCCTCATCTTTTATATTTATAAAAATGGGTATTGTATTGTGTTTTGGGGCATTTAAGTACATTTTTCCCTAACCTTGGGGTTTGATAAGGAGTTGCGCTAATATCGTTCAGCATAAACATTTGCAACTGCCACCATTATATTCTATAGGGTCTTGGCTTTCAGAAAATATATAATGTTTGGGGGTTTTAAGTAATTTTCAGGCTAAAATGTGGAATATAACATGGGTGCAAAAAATTAAATAAAAGGCCTCAGTCATGATGGGGTTAAATCTTTTATCAATATTAGTGTCCAACGATGTAAATCCATTGTCAGTTACAACAACCTGATGCCCGCTGATATATACACATCGCACTCCTTTCCCTAAATGACAGATCCCTGGAACTGCTTTAACGTAATCACTTCACCGCAGATCCTGAGTAACATTATCAAATATGGTCAATGACAAACTTTGGAGAAGAGGAGATAGTGAGATGTTCTGTAGTCATGTCTTAGGTTGAAAATGCTGCTGCTCCAAAAAGAAAAGCCTAAAAGCCTCCTCCAAAAAGCCTGAAGAAAACTAATGCAGCCACCGCATCTAAGGACTAGTAAGCTGCAATATACTGTATACTGCCTGGCCAAAAAAAGTCACACTGTAATATTTAGTTGAACGGCCTTTAGCTTTGATTACAGCACCCATTCACCGTGGCATTATTTCAATAAGTTTATGCAATGTCACAACATTTATTTTTATCCAGAATTGCATTTATTTTTCACCTTATTTTTCACCTTGTAGTGATGATGATGGAGAGTTGGACCACTGTGTAAAGTCTTCTCCAGCACATCCCAAAGATTATCAATGGGGTTAAGGTCTGAACTCTGTAGTAGCCAATCCATGTGTGAAAATGATGTCTTATGCTCCCTGAACCACCCTTTCACAATTTGAGCCCGAGGAATCCTGCCATTGTCATCTTGGAATACGCCCGTGCCATCAAGGAACAAAAAATCCATTAATGGGAAAACCTGGTCTTTCAGAGATATGGGATATTCAGGTAGGCAGCTGACCTCATTTTTTTGGGGTACATAACATTGCTGAACCTAGACTAATTATCCAATGGAAGGCTCTTACCTATTTGCTTAGCTAAAAGCAGGTGGTGACTTATTTTTTGGGGCTAGACAGTTTATTACTCTATCTCTTGGGTCTAGATAAGCTTTACAAGAATATTTGCCACCTGATGTAAATTGTTCTTTTAGACTGTGCTTTAAATTTTTGATCTTGAGGACACATCCTGAACCCTCAACACATTTTGCATTTATTGGTTGTAGGAGTACTCTTCTAGTGTATAGAAGCAGAAGATGTCTGTTTTTTTTAAATTAGTTGTATGAGTCAAAAGAGTAACCTTAGCATAGCTTAGGGATGATGTTAAGAAAACTCAGTTGGCTGGAGTCCTTTTTGAGACCATACCCTCTAAAAGGTAATCTGTAAGGTGAATGCAATTTGATGTTAGAAATATTGAACCCTCATGATGACCAGGCTGTACAGTCTCACATAATATTAGGCAAAGGTTGGGAGTATTTGGGCAAAGGTTGGGAGTGGGGTGCTGTTAAACCTTATTCATCCATGACATAGAGATTGGATTAAATTGCTCAATTTTGTTTTTTGCAGATGATATTAAACTCACACAACACACACACTCGCATGCATAGGTGGAACTGGATAGACCCTGGTCTTTATTCAATTCAATCTAATATAAAGGTTTTAAAGAAACTACGGAGTCACTTTAATATCTGCTGTATGTTTCATTACCCTCTATTTTTATGGCTCATTTAAATATATTTTCATTTAACAAGCAAAAAAAAAACAGACACAGCTACATCAATTGCTATGTAGGCATGGAAACATAAAGTTGGAATAATTTATATTTGCATTTTTATTACCTTCTAAAAAGCATGTCCATGTAAAATGCAGAAATAGTACTTTCAAGTATTCCTCGTCTTTGCACACACTAGATGGCACTGTTGTACTCTAAAAATGTTGTGATCATTTATGAAGTGGATTGCCATGAATTACATTGTTAATGTTCCAAAAATTCCATTTGTACAGAAGATGTGGATGAGATTTATGTTTAATCTAAAAGCTGAGCTATCTCAGCAGGATATGATAGCCAATGTTGTATAAGTAAAATTAATATATACTGAGATGCTAGGCTGGAAAATTATTTAACATTAATGGAGTGCAGTTAAAGACCACAAATATTCTGAGTACTCTACAGATGGCAAATACTCTCAAGCAAAAGCCCAGCCCAAAATAAAAGGTTATGCTAAATGTTTTACATGTAATTTAAACAAATGTGATTACATTACTGAAACATTGCAGCTCAATATAGTTTGGTATTCCCCCAACAAAGATATAATTTTAATGGTCCTTTTGCATGTTGAGCCCAGTAAATATTTACTTTGCTTTATACATTATTAACAGCTTGTCAGTCTTCTCCATATTTAGCATGAGGTGTAAAAGAACAATTAAAGTAGTATTAAGGTCTGGGCGTTTTTTACCTTTAATGCATTCACTGCATTAGGGTAAAAACAGCCCAGCACCTTTTTTTTTTTACCCCATTCCCCCCCAGTCTCCCCCACACTTACCTGTCAGCTGCGCTCAACCCCGCCCCGATCAAAGAAGGAAGGGGCATGGCCTGCCACAGGGCTTTGTGTGTCTATAGACGCACACAGCCGCTGCGGGGACGAGTGTGCACGGGTGCCTCCATTAGAACAATGGTGGCACTCGTGCAGGGGGTGGGGGGAAGAGCATGGCGGGGACCCACTAGAAAACAAGGAATGAAGAACTTTTTTGTTTTTTTTTAAACAACAGCCTCCAGCAAAGGATGGTCTCCTTAAAGGAGAAATGAAACAAAAAATCCTATAAAAATGGATTGCAATAAGTTCCCTTAAATAAGTAATAATATACAGTAACTAGTGGTGAAAGTCACACAGAGTGTACTACAGCTAGACACAAATGGTGACCCTATTGCCAGTTAATGATCTTGGACTTTCACCAATTCAATTTCATTTTCTAACATTTGTTAAATGAAAGCTATGTACTTTTTTCCTGGCAGTTTTAGAAAGTCTAATTTGAGTATTGAGTTTTGGCATCAGAGCTATTTTTTATTTTGGAAGCATTTTTAAAATAAATATGGCTGTTTTTGTGCATGCATTTTTGAAATTATGTGTATCATCTGTTGTTTTTTTATGTAAAAGTTAGCAACAGTAATTTTTAGTATATCCTACTAAGGCCTTTGCATACATGAAATGGCTCAGTTGTACTTTTGTTTTCAGAGCTTTCTATTGACTCCTGCAGAATGGCATCACTGGAAAGCGTAACATATATTTGATTGATGAGGCTAAAGCTGAGTCTACACATATATATTTTCTTCGCTCAACCTGCGGGCTGACGGAGGAAACAGATTCCTCCATCAGCACTTACGAATGTTGATGAAGGAATTCACTGCTGTTTGCATTCTATCTGACAGTGGCCACCAGCCGATTGGCTGCCAGCTCCATCCAGTTGAGAATTTTCCAGCCTGCTCCTCCAATCAGTTGATCGAGGGATGCCGGCCGTAAGGGTGCTAACAGTGGCACCCACTGTGCAAATTTGGGCCAGTTCATCAAGATGCTTGATGTGTTCATTGAAAGCACAACATGTAAGTGTCTTGTTGTCATTACTTATGCATGCCAGGTGGCTTCTCCAGAGTCTTCACAAAGGCTGCTGATAGGTTCTTTTTTTCACACAAGAACGGATATAACGTTCAGAGGCCCGAGCATTGTATTAGTGGTAGTCCTGTCCATCGTGCCAATGAGTGGAAAGTTCAATCTTTTGAGATGTGTTTCAGATTGATGTGTGCACCCTACCAATGTACATCTCCATTTACTGTATGTGTTCAAGAAGAAAAAACACAAGTTCTTGACAGTGCTGCTGAACTTGGGTGCTTCAAAATATTCCCACAGCAGCATGTGTTTAAATGTCAGGCCAGTTGCCAGCACCATTGAAATGTGATGGTGGGATCCATTCAGAAGAGGATGTAAATTAGCCTCATTCCAGGTCTGCTCCACCTCCAGCCCTTGGGCATGCTACAGATTTGAAGGGAGGGGGTCTGTTGATGTGATGGACAGCAGTAAAGGCCAGGCATTGATTGAACCCTGTCCCAACACAAACTTGGAATTTTACTTAACTTTTAGTCTTGGTGGCAGTGATCACCAATACAGAGGGTGAGTCTCCCTTACTGGGACACAGTCTGACTAGAGATCTGACCTCTCACCACTTCTCCAAAAGTAAACAAATGTGATAGATACACTTTAACTCCTGATCAAAAAGTAATTTGTTTGTGAAAACAACCATTTTTATATTATTCTTTTTAGCAACGTTTGGAATTCAATTGGTTTTAATGCCTGCTTGTTATAGTGATCCTGAACATTGCTGGTTGTCAAGCTCTTTGAAAGCTTATTGTGTAAGACTTCCATAACAATTCGCTAGGAATGTGCATTAATGATACTCTGTCAAATCTCTGCTGCAGTTTATGCTTAGACAGCTAGCTTTTCCAAGTGGAATGAGATGTAACCACACAGAAACATGACTGCTGTAAGCATTCCAGCATGTTATTAAACACTGAACAGAATGTATGTCTTGTGTCACATATCTATGAGATTTAACAGTAGCAACAATTTTCAGCTTTAAAAAAATAACAAGAATTAGTTATAAGTTATGCGGGGCCATGAGGTGAAGCGTTATAAAATTGCATGATCTCGACAAAATAACTAGGACCTAGAAATATGATGGAGGTCACAAACTGAGAAAGTGCAGTTGGCTTTTTGGAAACTGAATATTTAAGTATGGCAGAATGCAATATACTAAGTTGGAAAGACAAGAAGTACAGTTGGTTCTCAACAGTATTCAGCAATCGCAAATGGTGTTAGAAATAGTGACTAGAGAACCAGTAAGAAAAGCTTTTGGATAATGTGCTTCTTGCAGCTTGCCTGGCAGCTCCACAGAGCAGTGATGTAAAAAACACAGCTTCAGATATGTGGCCACTTTAGGTTGCTAGTTACAGTTGCCAGGTTGTATGATGGTTTTCAATCTGCATGTGCTAAGGTGAGCAGAATCCAAAGAAAAGTTTAGGGGCTTCAATGAATTAACTGAACCTGCCGAGCATCAACTTTAATTTTTAGCTTTATCAAGCCTGATAAATGCCATTTCCCTTGATATGGGTTCATATTTTTGTATGCCCTGCATGTGGACAAAGGTGTTGAACTTTAACATGGAACTAAAGTAAGATTTATACTTTTTTGGTAGAAGAGACTTTGTATGTCTCCTGCTGCAAAAATATTTTTTTCCACACAAATTTTTATTTTTCATTTGCTGCAGCTCATGTACAGTATACTGTAAATGTTTGGTCTTACAGAGGCAGAGAATGGAGCTTGGTGCTGAGATAATGTAACTCTGGTACATGTTATATAGCTTTGGTGCACATTTATAGTAGATATGTGCACCGGCAAAAAAAAAAAATTCTGATTTTTTGGTATTTCTATTTGTTTTTCGGGATTCAGATTGGAAAATCAATTTGTTTGAATATCCGGATTTGTCTACATCTGAAATGTTCATTTATTTCAGATGAGCTTAATGATATTTACGAATGAAAATTTGTTGCAGAAAAGTGACATTTCTTAACTTTTGACAGTCCACAGAAACAATAAAAAAAAGTGTGGGGTCGCCCCCTAATTCATCCCAGACCCTTTTAAGTCTTACCCCTACGCCAAAAAAAAGAAGCTTGGGCCTCCCTAAAATCCCTTACCAGACCCTTGATCCAAGCAGCAGCCTGGCACAGCAGGAAAGGGGGGTAACGAGTATGTGCCCACCCCCTCCTGCACCATACCAGTCCATATGCCTTCAACATAGGGAGGGTGCTTTGTCAGAGGAGCACCCTGTCGATGAGGACAAGGGCCTCTTCCCTACAACCCTGGCCCGGTGGCCATGGTTGTAGGGATGGAACATCCTAACGGCGTGTAGAGTTTAAGATTGTCCTTCAAATATTTTACTGGATGACAAAAGTGTTGTTTTTATGTCTAATATAGGAATCTTTTTTTTTGGGTGGGGGGGTTGGGGTTTAGGTGATGTGAGAGATCAAAATGTCAATGTAACGATGAGGCATGTGACACTTTTGTAAGCAATAAAATAAGTATTTTCTGTTAGAATTGGTTAAAGCCAAACTTCTGCCTATTTTTATATTTGGTGAAAGTGGAAAAGGATTATCTTTCTGAGTTTTTTTCTATCTTTGCGCCCATGGGAGATTTTCCTTTACCTGTATAGTTAAAGGATGTCACATCATGAATTAATGGAAAATCTACCCACTTTTGACGAATTTGACAGGTTTCAGACAGAACAGGAAGTGAGGGAAATAAAGAGCTGCCCTACCACTCCACATGGTAGAATGGGTATAAAGTTTTCTTCATCTCCACAGTTCACATATGATTTTTTTTTTCTTATGTAAATGCTAATAATCAACAAGTTATTAAAGGTAATTATGGTTATGTGAAAAATGGTATGTACACACACACACACACACACACACACACACACTATGTTCGCCCTATTATCAATCAATTATTACTGTTAAGATTACATATTTTGCTGTTATTCAATGTAGCATGTTCTTCAGTCCTTCACCAGAAAGCTGACAGAGAAAGAGATAATGGATGCACCATGCACGAGTCCAACGATTACTTTTCATTGTCCCCCTACGCACCCAACCCTTTTAAAGAAAAGATCTACTGAAAAGTTTCTAGTGACAGCCAGAAATGTTAAAACAATAAACAGTTGCCCTACAATGCACATACTTCGTATTAATTTGTATATGGTTGAAAGCATTAAAGATGTTCATAAAGCATTTATGTGTTCATTGATGTACAGTATATCATTTTTTTCCTCAAATTTCGTTTCTATTCTTAACCAGTACTTATAAATTCAATTACAAAAGAGATTTCTCACTGCATAAAAATGGTTTTGCTGTCATTTAATTATAATTCATGAAAAGCTGCTCTTGAAAATTAATAGCAGCCTCCTTTGCTCCCTTTGTGCGAGAGCATAATTATATTTTTTTACAATAACCTAAAAGTAATCCATCATATGCACCTCTATTTCCGTAATGGTCCCTTATTTAAAAATGTAAACTAAATTGTCTGAATCTATTTAGCAAGACTTAGGATCTCTATTAAGAAACATTTTCACCACAAGACTACTGAAAGAAAGGCTTTTTTTAATCAACTTTTAAATATGACTTTTTTCAACTAGAGCCTTTTTCTTTTAAACAATGCTCTATGAGGGCTATATTGATTAATACAATGTCATGAATGAAATGCCGGTACTGCCACTGCTAAACTCTTTCTAAAAATGCCAGTTACCTGGCTGATCTTGGACTTAAAGTGATATTAAACCCTTCAGTTTTTTTTTAATCAGCACCTAATGAATTTTTTTTAAACTGTGCCATTTCATTTATAATTTGAAGGTTTCATACCGTGGCTCCTCCTGTTTATGGGTATCTCCTTTGCCTAGCAGGTTGCAAAGGAGATACTGGTGCATGTACGCTCCCAACTGGGAACTTAGCTAATCTGTGTGTATCCACTGGAACAACCAGCTCTTGTCAGGCCATATACCTACTCTCACTTCCTCCCTCCTCACAGTGATTTGAAAGGCAGCTGCAGAAGCCTATTGCTGTCCTGTACTCCTTGCCCTCGGCATTCCTCCTCTACAACCTGGAACTTTGGGAAAGCAGCGGATTGTCTCGGTTCAGGCGGGGTGAACATGGACCAAACGTAAGTGTTATGAGGTCGGGGGCAATGCCAAGGCATCAAGGCATTTTTGTAACCTTAATGCAGAGAATGCAATAAGGTAAAAAATGCAGAGCTTTTAGTACTATTTTAAATACTGTCTAAGCTGCTGACCTGGAACTTCTGGCCTGTGTGTCAGAAAGTAATAGAGTTGGAGAGAACCAAGCAAATAGCAGTTTTCAAAGGTAGCCTGTAATTGCAAACCTCCGTATTACTCTTATGGTGATGGGTAACTATCAACCATTTTGTAGCTGCTAAGGTTTTTCTCTAGTATATATTTCTTACTAGGAGTCAGAGCTTTGGTGCAATTTATAATGCTGAGAACAGAGAAGGGCTACACCAGGCTATCTAATGTTCTGCAGCTCTAAGGACCAGACCTGGTTCAGTAGACTGCATTTGCCAAACTGTATATCAGAGGTAGTGGTTAATTGATGCTAACCATCAGACTAGTGGTAGGAAAGTAGTACTGTCTGGGAATTTTTTAGATTGAAAGTAAAGATTGCAGCTACAGCTGTGTCACAAAAATCTGTGGACACACACTGTCACAACAAATAGTCACAAGTTGTTTCACCTTTAGCAGTCACAGTTCCCATAAGGCAAGCACATCTACCGATACTTGGATGCCCCAGGACTTAAACTATTTGCTCTGATCAGGTGATGCCACAGGCTGGCCCCCAGGAACAAGGAGACGTACTGACTGGTGTCAAGGTACAAGACAAACAGAAAGCAAGACACAAGACAAGAACAGGAAACAAACACAGGACAGGAACTAATACAAGAAACAAAACAGGTATAGGATTAAAGATCCAAGGCAAGACTAGGTTTCAGGATCAAGGCAGGACTGGGATTCAGGATCAGGATACAGGCTTGTGTAGACAGAACAAAACAAGACAAGACTGGAACTATCACAAGCCCATAGCTGTGGGCTGGTGATGCTTAAATAGAGCACAACTAACCAACGCCCAGGCTGTGAGGGGTGTGTAGCCAGGCTGATTAGCCTGATCAGCCTGCAGCTGACTAGACTGTGGTAGGTGCAGTTACAAGAGGCAACCACCAGATGGAGCTGAGTGGTTGCGACAGGGATAGGAGCATTTAACATGCTCCTAACAAATTGGTTCTGTTATTTTATCTTTCCATGATCCAATTAATTTTATAATGTATTTGTTTGCTGAAGTTCTGCTTTAAGCATTTAAGCATCTGTCATATCAGTCTTAAACAAGTTGTAAAAAACAAACAGAAAACAAATCTAAACTCTATGCTGAGAATAACAATTACCTAAAGGCATATCCTACTTTCCTATTCCCTGGACTTTTGTTCTCCATCCTAGCTTTTCCTGAGCACACCAGGTCACACCGTGAAATCTTCAGTGCCCATGAGTTATGTGACCACCCCCAATTTGAAGCCTGTGAACATATAGCAATCCCCTTTCCCATAATATTAATACTTAGAGGGTTATTTACAAAGCTGCCAAAGGCAGCCAAGTGAATATCCGAGTCGAAGTGAACTGAACGGTGTGCGGCTATTGACTTTGGCTCTGTACGGCTGATTTCAGCCCCCCCCTTATGCATGAGTAAAGGGTTAAATTTAAAATTTGAAAAAAGGCCAAACTTTTGAAAAATCCTTTAATTGAAAAAAAAAAACAAAATACAGGTTTTTGACAAATCCTTTATTTGAAAAAAAATCCCAAAAATGGATGCAGCGACGAAATCCAGGGTCAATCATCACATCCAGCATTGTCCACAAGACGACAACTCGGCTGTCAGTTAAACAGTCGCTATCAGTTAATTTGTAGTTTGCATGCAAACATTTTAGCATTATTCGTTGGATCTGTTTTGCGACCAAAGCAACAGTTTTATATGTGTATGCTAGTGTGGCCAAATAGAGATTGTCTGCTTGTTTTTGCTGTTCCGCTGCAACTGTGAGCACCTATTTAGTGATAAAATGTAACCTCACAACTATCACAGAACTTAGAAGTGCTAAGGAGCACTTTTTAATGTAGCACTGCTCCCACCTGGGCATTGTGGAATGACCCCCTAAGTAGAGTGGCAGACTAGCATTTAACATCTCCGGGTGGATCCTTGGCTTATTGGGAGGAACACAAGCAATTGGGGGCCAGACATGTTTGCTTTTTTTTTAGTTCTGTTATCTCTGGAAAGAGGGTTAGGGGCACAGGATACACAAAAATAGCAAAATATCTCAGGACATTTGGTAGCAGCAGAATTTTTAGTGGCCCTTAACGGTGGCTATCTAACAGTGATTGACTTTTTGACCCAATGCGAGAAGTGTGTGGTACCTTTAAAGGCACCTGTGGTACCTTCAAATGTTGAGCAGTGAGTTCTCTGTGGTATCTCCTCTGGTCGCAGTTTCTCCTACGCTCACCAGGACACTCTTCGGTTAAGCAGACTTTTCTGAAGATGCTCCATACAGGAAGCCATTTTCCTGATTTCTCTAGAGTTGCTCCATAAAGATAGACATCTCCTGCTCTAGCTGTTTCTGGAAATGTCCTCCAGCAAACCAATTGGGTTCCTTAGGCGTTAGCTCATGCTTCTGGCTGGGACATCAAACATAAGCCCAAACCCTTCTAGAAGGTTAATCCCATTATTTATCTTCTCTGCTCAAATCACTGAATTAAACCCTCTGTGACTGGCAAAACCAGATAAATATTCATAATAGATTGTTATTTCATACATTAACTACTGAAGACAACTCAACAGCAGCAGGCAAAAATAACCAATTCCCTGAGTTTAGATGAAACCTTACTAGAGAAAATATAAAATATATTTCCTATAGAAAATAAAAAAAGTTCAGGCTGGTTACAGCTCATCTGCAAATGCAATACATTTAGCTAGGGACACTCCAATTTAAGACAGGGTCCCTTCATTAAACACACAAAGATATGTAATTTTCATGTATATATTTCGTATTTCTTTTAGCAGCTAAATAATTAGGCAAATTGTTTACAGAAAGGACAGATTAGCAACCGCAAACAATAGCTTATTTGTAGTTTGCATAAATGCCCCCATTGTGCATATATGGTGGATCACCGTTTATACCCTATGTATTTATGTAGACAAATTTACTTGTGTTATTTTTTTTTTTTATTTTACGTCAAAAACCTAAATCTGACATTTCTTAGCATTTTTTTTATAAGATAGATTTTTTTTCAGATACTTTTTGTTTTACAAAGTCATTATTAGGGTGCCCACACACCTTGCGATAATCGTACGATAATCGTGGGAAATCCCGCGAACCGTACGATTGTCGGCGGGTGTGTGGCATGTTCCTAAGATAAATGCCGCACGGGCCAGTTTGCGCAAGCGCACACTGCCCGTTCAGCATTGCGGTCATCGGAAGTACGATCTGCCTGTCCAAGATGGGCAGATCGTACGTTTTGTGTAATGACCTTACAACCATCGCAAGACAAAAGTCTTGCGATGGTTGTAAGGTGTGTGGCCAGCTTTAATGTGTCATATGAACCACATATGAGTAATGTCACTCTCAATGTAAAGTAGTGTCAAAGGAAGTTTAGGATTATAGGTTAGCATCTTCAAGGTCTTAATTGTCCCTATAGCTAACCTCTGCAGCTGGGATGTGTGTAACACAGCTATTCATGAAAGCTGAATGCAGGGGTATTGGTTAATTTACTAGTTAATTTACACCATAACTTGTTATGTACATTATGAAGGTGCTAATAATGGTGGACTAAGGTGGCTGTGGTATGTGGCTTACAGCAGGCAAGGATAGGGGTAGACAGGCCAGAAGTCTCCTAGTCTTTTGATCAAAGGACACAAACAAATGGCCAAGTCACACCAGGAGTCTGAGATCCCGGAGTCTGAGATCCCAGAGTCCTTCCACTACAGCGAGCTTTGGCGTAATTATAAAAGGAAACTACTGAGAGGATGTTACAAGATTGGTGGAAAGGGTAATAGTGGGCCCAGCAGTCACCGGTCTTAATAAAAAGAAATTAAGAGGACAGATCCCTTATTCTTCAAGTGGGAATTTATTTTTGGTTGAACATATTTGTGGGAAAATATCAACAATTGCACTGTAATGTACGAATGATATTTGCACTAATGAGATTACATTTCTGCCCAGAGTTCAGCTTGTAATTATTGTGTGTGGCTGCCAGGATGAGAGTGGATGAGGAGGATGAGGATGAGTACAATGGAGTAAAACCTTGCATATTTAATTGATGATTATAGTCCCTTGTACATGGAACCCTGCATACCTTACAGTATACTTTGTGTTGGAAGACATAGGCTATGCTTACAAGAGTCAGAACAACCACATAAAATACTTCATGGGGAATTTATCCAAACTGGAGCAGGCAAAATCTGGAGCACTTGCCCTTGGCAACCAATCAGCTTCTATCTTTCATTTTAAAAACTTAACTGAACAGCCTAAAGAGAGTAGCTGATTGGTTACCATGGGCAACTGCTCCAAATTTTGTCTGCTACAGTTTTGATAAATGTCCCCCTTAATTATCACTATCATATGCACTTTATAAATTAAAAAGCATTGTGCAAATTGCAATAACCTGTTGCAATCAGTCAGCATTCATCGTTCATAGATTTGATGGCACTAATCAAATAAAAGCCTGGATGCTTTCCATTGCTTACTGCACACTATTTCTCATGCTAATGTGTTGTCAATGTCTGTATATCAAGAAAATAATATATGTTATATTTTTTAGTTTTTAATTTTTAGTCTGTGTTAAGGAAGGCAAGGTTAATAGAACACCTGCCCTACAGCCAAGGGCAAGAATTGCTAATCCTAAAATATACATGGAGTGATGCTTTTGTCTCTATTGCTTCAATTAATAATGAAGAGGGATCAATATAAAGAGATATGAGGCTTATGAACCAAAAATAGGCTGGCTTGCAGTTTCATATGTCATCTACAGTAGATGATCATTAATATGCTTTTAAAGGAGGATGAAGGAATATTTGTACTATTTTATTGTAATATTTTAGTGCGCTCTTTCAAATATGTGTTTGAAATAAAAATACAAAATAGTATACTGTATATTACTTACTTTATGTTTGCTACAGAAGATTAGGGCACATTTATTTCACCTGAAGATACACAAAATGGATGACATTTTAAGATCTTGGGATTAAATCAGGTG